ATCGGAAGATGTGCAATGAGTTTTTTTTATTTGAAATTACCTCCTTTAATTCCATTAAAGTTTAAATCACGGGTTCTCGGTGCCGTCGGAAATTTACTATAAATACAATTTCAAAGTACAGCGATTTAGTCAGTTTATGTGCGAATTATAGGCACTTTATTATGTCTGGCATCGCAGTTTGCCTATAAATGATTCCACAAATTAGTTTTTATAGTTATCCAGGCAAGTCCGAACACAAATTGTTCTTATACGTTTATAGGTTTGCGAACTTTCAGACTATGGCAGAAGGATGTTCATCGACAAAAGTACACCTGGTGATTTGATTGTGTGTTTTGAACTCCCGTAACAATGTGTCAAACTTGTTTGCTACATAATTTGATCCTGTTCTAGTATTTAACGTTCTTAGCTAAACGCACACTCAATATAGTTTGAACATTTCATTTGAACATTTGCTACATAATTTGATCCTGTTCTAGTATTTAACGTTCTTAGCTAAACACACACTCAATATAGTTTGAACATTTCAAATCACGGTTATTTGAATTTGTGAATCGCCTTCTTCTGAAGAACCACAAATGAGGTAATATTGATTTATTTATTTTGATATAGTTTTAATCGTTTTGAACGTGTTTGAAAATGTCTCGCAAATATCCCATATGTCTAAACATGGGAAACATTATACCTTAACTAATCACAATTATTCTATTTACATGATCAGAGAATTCCATACTGCACAAATTCTATCTTTTGTCGATATCATTTCCATATCAATCAGCAATTCGTTTCGAGTTACCTGATTCGAGGTACAGGTTACTTTTGCCGAAATCCCTATACGACTCCTGAGTTCTATATTAATCAATGGGCAAATCAGAGCGTGTTTTTTGTGTCGCAGTATTTGTTAATGCGTTACGATCATTGACATTACTCGATATATTTTGTAAACTGTTCATAAACAGTTTTTAAATGTATTTCGAGTGCATACACTAACAAGTGTGGTGATAGCGATATACCCTTTATTTTATATCGTGTCCAGTGTGAAAACACTCTAGTTTTCTAGTACAAATATTATTCAAACTGTTGGAAACGCTTTTAAAAATCATGTTTGTTAAGGTACTATTATGATAAACACATTTCAAATATTTCTTTTCTAGTGGAAGCAGTTATATGGCTAGTTAAAGCACCTTTTCAAAATGGTTTTCTAATGGAATCACTTTTCAATAAACATATTTTAGGCACGTAGAAACACTATTTCACGCGTCGTGAACATGGACACGGCTTTACAAGAATAAAAACACTGAACATATGAACGTGAATATAAAACATATCATTTGTAAAAAACAACACCTCCTGTGTTTAATTAGTTCGACCACTTGGATTGACATCGCATCAAATTACATCATTTGTAAAGAAAATAACATTCTCTTTTATTAAGGAAAAGTGACTTATCAAGGCGGTAAAGAAAGCCCAAGCTCATTTCCACCAAATATAATATAACGAGTAAATCTAATTTATCTGAGCCACATAATATGACTGAGAGGCCAGCATAATGGTTTTGCAGTTTGTGAAATATTTGCATTAATAATCAGTTTTATAATACATATAACTATATTTTAGTTGAGAGACACGATGTTACTCTAAACAGCTGCAAACCTTTTAGTTTCCATTTTGTCATCACTAATGGGATATCAAGTTATAAATGAACCTCAAACCCCTCCGAGTCGGCTTATAGTGCCCCGAGTAACACGTATACTGTTACCTGATGTGTTATATCTGCGTGTCTATTTTATATCGAAATGCTGAAATTTAGAAAGAATATTGATTGCTTAGGCCAATTGAAACGTTACTGGCAACCCGATGCAGAAAACGTCGAGAGAATCAGACTGATATCCTAGTGTTATGACGCGAGCACCTGACAGCTGAAGTCGATAGATAGTCAGAAAGGCAACTTTTTATCCTGAGAGTTGTGTCAGGAAACGAGTGAACATCACAAAATTACAGCGATTTCTAAAGCATTACTATCAACAAGACATACCATGAATATAGTCTTTTGCAATACTGCGACCAAGATACTTTTTGTACTTTATGCTGATGATGTAATCCCAGAAAATAGAACTTCGGCTTCTATTGAATAAAATTGGAAATTCAATGAATTGCATCATATGAGAGTTACCAGATTACAAAGTTCACCGTAAATTACCGCTCAAAACTAGGATTCAACCTACACCCAACTAGGTCACTAGAAAACAACATTTACATTTTATAATAATAATAATACAAAACAATCGTTGAGGGTACAGTGTTATACAAGCATGCATCGTCCATCCACAACCGACGTTCAGGGCGTGCGTCATACTTATAGGAAGAGAGTCGTCTAAATAATCTAGTACGATACATTTCTTTTGGCCACATCTGACCACACAATGGGAGCGACGCAATCGAATATAGGTGGGAGCAATGGAGCTAAAACAAATATGTATTTCGTAATAGCTTATTCGATTGCACTGTTAATGTATATGCTATAATATTGAACACACATTAAATGGACATGAAAAAAAACAACATATATATGGACGTCACATTCAACCTCACTGACAGCTCTTACAATCCATATATTAAACCCAACAGCCACCCACTATACGTACATAGAGAGAGCAACCACCCACCCTCCATCACAAAGAATATACCGGCAGGAATCAACAAACGATTGTCATATCATTCATCAGACGAAAAACACTTTGATCTAGCCGCGCCACCTTACCAGACAGCTCTAAATCAAAGTGGATATGATTATCACCT